ACATACACTGCCCACCCATATACATACACTGCCCACATATCTATATATATATCTATATATATATATATATATATTACATACACTGATCACCCATATATACACTACCCCCACACAAGCACACTGCCCACCCCACACACAAGCACACTGCCCACCCCACACACATACACGGCCCCCCCACACACACCATACACATTCACACACATTGCCCCCCACACACATACACTGCCAACACACACACACACACATTGCCCCACACTCCCTACACATTCACTCACTACACCCCCCCCACACACACACACACACACACTGCACCACTCACACACACCACAACTCCTATGCCCTACTACAGCCTCATATCCCAGCAGACCCCAGGTAAGTTGTCAAATTGGCGGGTTGGGGGGGACCTAATGACCTTATAGTGAGAGGAAAACAAGTTTGTTTTCCTGGCACTATAGTGCTCCTTTAATATTTAGTCTTCGAAGGGCCATGGATCTAATTTTGTCCGGGGGACCAGAAGGCTGTCGGTCCATCCCTGGCTGTGGGTTTATTGTTCTTATATACACATTCTTACACATTAGTACCACCCACAAAGTTTTGTAAAACAGCCAATAAACACGAACAATACACTTAGACACTCCCACACAAAATCCTCCCCTCTGTGATACAATTACCTTACACAATGGTTTAATGTAATCACAGGCAGGAATATACACAGTTTTACACAATATTCATAACTTTAAAAGTATGCATCACATTCACATAAATTCCATCACAATTTCAGAATCGGCATACTCCAAATACAAATATATGTCAAAATCATACAAATTGGTCCAGTGGTTCAAAAGTTAGATCGAAGTCCTTTGTGACCAAATGAAGCATGGCTTTTCTGCCCAAAACCGGTTCCACAGAGTCTTCTATCCTGGAGATAATTGGGAAGTAATCCAATTCTCTCCAAGGACAGAGGCAAAACTCCATTAGCCACATGGTAGCAAAAGACAATAAAATACATAAATATATATAACTGTGCAGCTATTGCATAAAACAGGTACATTCAATATATCCCCAGATAGCTTAGATCTGAGCGCACTTTAATACTGAATGGCGCTCAGATCACATACAGTTAAATTGCCATGGAGCCAAAGTCTTTCACATAGTCTTTCATTATACGAATGGGCTCCGTGGCATAGCTATCTGGGGTACCACTGTTCAAATAGGGAAAGTACCGAATGACCCGGCTTTCGGGTCTTTGCAGGGGAAAAATCAAGCATTTCAACATGGGGCCATAGTCACAGGGCAGGAGGCTGGCAAACAGTCTTCTCCAATGCCCAGTGGCGAGGCTAGTTCCACCACAATAATTTTTTTATTTTAATTAGGGTAGCCCCCAAAATATTAGGACATATAAAAAAAGAAACATTTGCAGCCTGCGGTGCATTTCTTGCAGCCCTGATGCATGGAGAAATGTTCAACTCCTGATGCATGGAGAAAAGGTCTTCACAAGCCCCTGCTATTCTGACGGCTGCTCCACTTTTGCACCCTGCTCCCTCTTATGCTGTGCTGGTGCCTCTGTGCGACCAGCGCCTCTTGCTCCAAACTGCACACGTCACTCGCATGACCTTGATTCTGTTGTAGAATTATTAGGCCTCTATAAATCTGTAAGGCCCCTTTAAATCCTCTTGCTATACCTCTAAGAGGCCCCCATAGTTTTACAAGAAAGCTTTGTCTATAGAACATAGAATTTGCATGTCAGCAAGAAATAGCTTTGATAAAATGTGTATTTACTAAAAGCCTTGAAACTTAACCTTGAGAAACTAACAAGTGCCAGCTACGCTCTAAATGGATAGCTGCCAAAAGGCCCCTCCCGTCGAGTGAACTCCTCATGTTAGCAAAATGGCGCTAAAACCTGTAGGAGTTAAGAAATTACGTAGATAGTGACCTAAGAATGGGGAGGGCATTTTACTAACATCTTAGCACCTAAGCCAATTAACAATGTCTATTTGTCTATATCTTGATTTTCTTCAATGATGTAATAATGCCTTTATAAGGGTCTGCGCACCCATTTTCTGTCAGAAGCCATTAAACTTCTCTGAAGTTCTTTCATTACCCTGAACCTTGTGTCTCAGTGTGAATTTACTTCTGCGTGCACGCAACTTTATTATCTTTAATTTGGACAGGAACAGATAGTCATTCAAACTAATTGGTTTGCAGTAAATTATATACGACAAATTGGCGCTTCCAACGTGGGGCTCTGGGCTATGTCCTGTCTGGGCAGCTGTCCAAGAAGACGCTGGGGGGGCTGAATCCTGGGGGAAGGAAAAGAGCCTGATCACCTCTGAATACACGGTAGAGATTGCTGCAGCACCTAGCCGGTATGTTCCTACCCCTGTGATTGACCTATCCCAGTGTCTGTGACTGCTGCCGAGAGGACATCAAAGTCAGGTAATAACTTGCCCAGAGTCTTTGTATTGTTAATGATACCTAGTTTACCTGCATGTTGACTATCTGTTGCCTGGGTGTGTTTGTATTGGTATGTGTTTAACTTAGTACCCGGGGAGTGTAAGTGCCTGTTTAACTCCTTTTAGGTACCACGTGCCTGTGGTAGTAAGGAAAAAGGGGGGTGGACCTGTGGAAGTTTTCCTGGGGGTCCTCTATTGCCTGTTTAACTCTTTTAGGAGCCACGTGGCTGTGGCTGTAAGGAAAAAGAGTAGGGGGAATCTGTGGAGGATGATGTAGACTCATTGCTTCCTGGGGGTTCCCCAGAGTGTCATTTTGACCGCTTAGCTTCTTGGTAAAATTCCAGCCTCGAGCGCTGAGGCAGGTAAGATTCCAATTCTTTAGGCTATACAGGATTCGGGTTGGAAGCTGTTGCTGTTTCCTGTGGCTGCTGGTAGTGAGACTTGCGGGTGGGTCCGCAACAGGGACACTACGAGGTTGAGGGAGGTGGCTTTTGGCCACACGAGTAAAGGCAAGGGATAAAACTGTTGAACTTATTTGAACTGTGATGCATGCACTGTATTTACACTGAAATGTTATTGTCTTAATTGTCTGTCACACAGATTCCTGTGTTTACTTCTATCTTACTCACTGTACTATTTACACTTTCCCCTCCTATTTCTCTTTCTCTGTTGAGAGAAGTGATTGGTCACACACTTCTCGCCACGCTCCATTCCCCCGGCTACCACGGGTAGGCAGAATCAGTGACTAGTCTACGTTTTGGGAAGACGTACTTAAAGAGCTTGCTCTTAAAGTAGCAGTCGAGCACGGTAGACGTTCTGTTCCTTTCTCTCTCTATATCTGGGACGCCTTATATAGGGAGGATGGGACAGAAGTTAGATAAACCCAGTAAGGGTTGGTTAGCATGTGATCAGGTGGAAGACAGAGAAGGAGAAGAGAGGGTTAAGAAAGTGAGTAAGATTGCTAAAGTATGTGGAATTACCGTACCTCTGTGCGGCAGATTGTAGCCAGAGAGCTGGCGTAAGTTACTGACAGAGAAGAAAGGGAAGCTGTCGGACCAAGATTTGGTTTGTACAGCAGAAGCCTGGTACCGAGTAGCAAGAGCTATTCAGCAAAAGGGATAGGTTGAGGAAGATATTGATCACAAAGGTTTAAGATTGTTTGTGTATTATAATAATTGTGTTACTGGATGCTGATGGATCCCTATTCTCCCCCCCCCATCAGTCCTACAGATCTCGTCACCCTCATCCTCTCTCTGCAGCTCCCTGCACCTCCAGTCCGTTTCTCCCGTCAAAGATTTCTGGTTTCCAAACGTATAAGTCTCTGTCCTTCTGTCTTGTTACTTTCCAGCACTCACATGGTTAATCTTCATGCCTGCAGCTTCACTCCCTTTTTTTGCACTGTCTAACTTTCTCCCCCCCTCTCCTCCCCGCTTGCCTGCATTTCTACTGATAAGAGTATAAGGTACTGAGGATTGTGGGAGTGACGAGCTCACAAGATTGCATTCAGTGTTGAATACGGGATTTAGGAAGGTGTAGAGGGAATATGCGATGTTGTTAAGTCAGTATAAGAGGAGGAAAGTGATTAATGGTTTGAGGAAGATAAGGGAAATTGGTTGAATTCCGTGAGTTTATTTTGCATCATTTTATTATTTTAAAGTTATTTTAAAGTACATGTTTCTAGAAACAGCTGTATGGGCTGTTAAATGCATAATGTTTTCAACTGTCTTATTTAACCTGCCAGGTCTGTTCATAGTTTAGTATTTCATTTTGCAGAACGGAATGTTGCTTCTCTGACTTATTTTAATAGTTTTAATATAGTGTATTGTTGAAAGTGCGTCAGCCACCACCCTAAAGATGGCGCCTAGTACAGAAGGAGGTTGACCCTGCCAGTCCCGTGACCTATCTACAGTCACGGTTGCTTCTAAAGTGACGTCACTTCCGCCCTTACCATGCCCACACCTCCTGTCTTCCTTTCCCACACATATCATGGACGTCACCCCTCTCACTTCCTCCCTTGCTGTCATTTCCTTCCCCGCCCCTGTCATGGCTGCCTCCATCATGAGGCCTACCCCTATTATGCTCGTCCCATTTAGAGACATGTTGTTTTCCTTACACTCTACATATTATGAACTGAAACATTATAATTACTAAAACAATCATGCCATTTGTTTCCCTGTATCAGCAATTTGTCCGTGATATAAAAAAAAAAGAGAAGGTTGCTAAAATGTAATTTGCAAATGTGGTGTGACCTACAAATGAGATCTGTTGGACACGAATATAAGAGCATAACAGTTGATTATCCAGCTTAATCTTGCAACAAGGGAAATAGCTAAATAATGCAAGTTATTTTAAACATTGTATCTTTACTTAATCGAATCTTGCTAGTTACAGATCGTATGTTTACAGTAACATCCTATACGTTAAATGATGGTTTAGCATTAGAAGGATTAGTGACATGTTTTATTAACCCAGCCACTACTGGTTATTCATTTTAGTTACAGGGTGGTATAATTGTTATAGTCTAATTAATATAAATGATAGTACCGCAATAGTTAATGTTTTATCCAAAGACATATAGGAACTTTACTTCACTTACTATTAACCATTATTTATAATGATAGACATGTTCAGACTGCAAAAAAAGCTATGGCTAATGACATAGAAAGGGGTTTGAGTCAGTAACACAGCCCATACAGAGGAGAGCAAACCCGCTGATGCTTAATGCCCCTGCCATGGCAGTGTCTACAGGGAACAAGGGGGGTCACTAGCCACTGTAACTTTACCTATTGAAGGTCACCCTACTACTTTCCTGGTTTCCTGGTTAACACAGGTGCATCCCGCAGTGTTCCTAGAGAACAAGACCTGCCTGACTCATCGTTCCTGCCTGTCACCGATGTCTCTTGTGTTGGTGCTGATGTCCTATCCCGCCTCCAAGCATCCATCACCCTCACTGCAGACGGCCAGGTTCAATTAAATACACCTTTGTCATGAAAAGACACTACAGTTCTTTGTTCCCTTCCCATTTTACTGTGGAGATGATCTACCCACAACAGAACAATGCTCAATTCATCTTCTTTACTATCTAGCAGAACAAGGATGTGAAGCTTCACGTCTCAAGCTGCAATTCTGCCAACCTAGTGTTATCTTCCTTGGCCATTGTCTGTCTCAGGGAACCAGACATCTCACTCGTGACCGAGTTAGAGCAGTACTGGACATTCCACCTCCAAGGACCTCAAAGTCACTACACGCCTTCCTAGGCCTCATTTCCTATTGCCGAGCATGGATCCCAGAAGCCTCGCTCCTTATGCAACCTCTTTATGATGCTCTCAAGTCAGACCCATTTTGCTTGTCCACAGAAGCCCTTGATAACTTCTGTTCTCTCAAACGTGCTATTGCTTCTGCTCCTGCTCTTGGCCTACCAGACTATACCAAACCCTTCAAATTGTTTGTTTCTGAAAGACAAGGCCATGCAACAGGAGTACTCACTCAGGCCCATGGTCCTGGAGGCCGCCAAAGGCCTATTGGATTTTTCTCCTGCCAACTGGATATTGTGGCCAGAGGACGTCCCTCTTGCCTTCGGGCCGTCTTTGCTGCCAGAGAGCTCATTGAAAGAACTGGAGATCTTGTCCTTGGCCACCCCCTGGTTGTCTTGGCCCCCCATGACATTTCTGCCATAGTCAACCAGGTCCAACTTAAGCATGTTACTCCTGCTAGGCATCTTCGCCTTCAATGTCATCTTTTGTTGCCTGACAACATTACCCTCCAAAGATGTCAAGTTCTCAATCCGTCCACTCTTCTGCCACTCCCTGAGGGGGGTGTATACTACGGATTCATCATGGATGAAACTTATGTTTTTCTTCTCACTGGCACTATCAAGAAGGAAATGCATCCCAACCTATCCTTTCATGATGGACAAGCACTCCTTCATGACGGAGCAGGATATGCCTTCTGTACCATGTGGTACAAATCAAACATCACTCCTGAACCCTGCTATGAAGATGAACTCTATCATCTGGTCGAAGTAAAACTCACTGCACAAGACTTCTACTGTGATTCTGAAGGCAACAGTATGGTCTTGATTCATCTACCTCCGGAACTCAAGCATTTGTACCGCCATTGGGACACTGCCATTCCACATGTCCCTGTGACCAAGTTGAAAACAATATCATGGAATGATCTTGGGCCTATGGCAAAAGCATGGGCCACTATGGACGAATCACAGCTACAGGAAAATGGTGTTGTCAAATATCCAACAACTGACCACCTAAAAGCATGGCCACGTCATTTCCTGGAAAATAAGTTCCAAGATTTAACCATAGTGAATGACTACGACCCAGATACACCTCATGACTGTTTTGAACAGATGAAAATGGAAACAACACATCTACCAACTGTGCATGAAGACCCATTGGTAGATCCCGATCTCACCCTGTTTGTGGACGGCTCAAGATATGCTGATGAAGAAGGAAGATACCATACAGGATATGCCGTAACCACAACAGATGAAATTGTCAAATCATCATCTTTACCATCAACTATGTCTGCACAAGAAGCTGAATTGCAAGCCCTGACTTCAGCATGCAAGATCTCTGAAGGAAAGCGCGCCAATATCTACACGGATTCAAGATATGCACTGGGCGTGGCTCACGACTTCGGATTAATTTGGAAAACAAGAGGATTTCTTACCACCGCCGGTACACCAATCAAGCACGGTTCCGCAATCAAGGAGCTGATGGACGCCCTCCTACTCCCAGAAGAAGTGGCTATTTTGAAGATAAAAGCACATGGGAAGTTGGACTCAGATGAAGCAAAGGGCAACCATCTAGCTGATCAGGCTGCAAAACAAGCTGCAAAAGAACCACAGGAAGTGGAAAGAAGAGTGTCCGGAAATGAAGAAACTCCCATATTTACTCTGCAGACTCTTCCAACTGACCTGAAAATCCTGCTGGAACAACAGGCTACAGTTGCCCCTGAAGAAATACAGAAGTGGAAACAGAAAGGGGCAGTTCTGAAGGATGGAGTGTACTCCAACAACCTCAATTTCTGCCTCCCTAAGAATTTGTACCCAGCAGTCGTACAATGGGCACACGGACCTGCACATTTATCAAAGGATCTAATGAATGCTCTTGTACAAAATGCTACCTCACTGTCCCCATATGAGATTCTATTTGGGACTGCACCTAGGCTAGGTTGCTATTTTCCCCAACAACTACAACTTCAAACTGATGTTTTTGTAGATTATGTAACTGAACTCGCAAATGCTTTGAACAAAATCCATGCCCAAGTTTTCTCTTCAATTCCAGATCCTGATTCTGACACAGGCAACAACAGTCTGCTCCCCGGTGACTGGGTTCTGGTCAAGAAATTTGTGCAAAAACACACCCTGGAACCAAGATTTGACGGACCGTTCCAAGTTCTCCTGATCTCCCCTACCTCTGTCAAATTGGCCGGAAGGCCTAACTGGATCCACGCTTCCCACTGCAAGAAGACACCTGCCCCAGAGGAAGCTAACTCTATGCAACCATGTGACTCTGGTACATTATCTCCTTAGTTGGCCTCCTTAAAGCCCAGCAGGTGGCCATCACCAAAGATGCTAATGGGTACACTTTCTGGTATAATTCATCATGTACCCATGTGGCTACATTCACTTTTGATTACTGTGATATTGTAGAATGCCCATTCCCTAAGTCACAGATTCAAGCCATTTATAAAGATATCCCACAAGCAAAAGACCCTTACGTTTGTGTAGTAGATGAACAATGGGGTTATGACTGTAACTACTGGGGGGCTGCGGGATGGAATACTGGGCCTGCCTGGGGTTATAAACCCAAAAGTGTTTTATCTAAGATAGACAATCAGGGTAGATCCCTCCTTCAAAGAATGACTTTAAGAAAGCCTGGAGGAAGTACCCCTATGAAATTAATGTTAAATATTGAACATCCTGGCCCCGAGGATGCAGACCGATATGTAATGGGAATGTATTGGAAGAAAGGTTCCTACAACAAATTAGGTCATTTCTACCTCAGAGATATGTACCACTCTCCAGAGTGGCAAGGGCTGATCATATGGTCCCAAATCCGCTAAAACCACATATCCAGTCCTTTAAAGATATGATGGCCATCGCTAACCCCACTTTTGAAGATACCATGGCCGCTGAAACTGGATTCAATGACATTAATTTGTGGTTAGAATGGATGAGGTATAATGCCAACAAACATAATAAAACAGCATGTTATATATGTGGCGGTGCCCGACCCCACCTTGGCACCGTCCCCCTAACTCTCCCTTTAGAGATAGAAGATTGCTTCTTAAGCCTTTTTGCCTACCAATATGACTTTAATAGGTCCCTCTGCATGGCATGGACGGCAGAATACCCTCTCTTAGTTGAAAATGTTAAGCCACCAGATGGAATCACAGTCTATAGAGGTAATTACACTTGTTATGCCGTGTATGACGGGATTGGTAAATTCATGGGTAACTTTTCTAAAGGTTATTGCGCCACTTACAGAACTGTTCCTATATGCCTGTTGCAACACCATACCAGGTCATTGGGGGATATTTACTGGTTATGTGGGGATCTACAGTTAAGATCTAGGCTGGAAACTGAGTGGTGGGGTGAGTGTACCCTGGCCAAAGTTATCATGCCCATTCATATTATTTCTGATAATCATCATGACACATACGACCCTCCACATACATCAGCCAGAGTAAAGGCGCGAAACCCCAGTAAAAGGCAGTTTTGTCCCCCACATTTACATAGATGCCATTGGGGTGCCTAGGGGGGTACCTAATGAATTTAAAGCTAGAGATGAAGTAGCTGCAGGTTTTGAATCACTTTTTACCATAGTCACTGCCAACAAAAACCTTAATTGGACTAATTATATCTATTACAACCAACAGCGCTTCGTGAACTACACCAGGGATGCCCTCCAGGGCTTGGCCGAGCAATTACAGGCCACATCCCAAATGACCTTCCAGAACAGACTGGCCTTAGACATGATCTTAGCCGAAAAAGGGGGAGTCTGTAAAATACTTCCCGACACTATGACTTGTTGCACTTACATTCCAGAAAACACAGGTCCTAATGGTAAAGTCACTCTGGCCATAGCTAAATTAAATAGACTCTCAGAAGAGTTAAAGAGAAACTCTGGAGTTACTGATCCCTGGGAAAAATGGTTTGGTTGGATGACTGGTTGGCAGAGAGCTTTAGTCCAGATTGGTATTGCCTTACTAATTTTTCTTTTTATTCTCGCCCTTCTCATTTGTTGTGTCCTCCCATGCCTAAGGAAATTCCTGCAGAAAACTGTAGACCAAGCAACACCAACCTTCACTCATCTGACAATCGATGATCAAGACCTCATCTCACCCTGTATTCCGCTACAAACTCTCCCTTATACTGATGAAGTGCAGAAAGTCTAGGAAGGGACAGTACAGGGACAGCGTCCGCCTTTATGGGTAGACTGCCGTACGGAGAAGTAGTGGATAAGCCACTATGGGTTACCAGCGGAGTGAAGAGTGTTCCTGAACCGTACTGACGGATGTGCTGCAGCCTGTTAGGGTCAAGAGAGGGATAGACTTGCACTTTGCATTAACACTAAGTCAGCGGTCATGGGGTTTCTGTGTCTTTGGGCTAATACTTCTTCTGATACTAACAAATAAAGTTTTGTCTTTTAGCAAATAACATTTTAGGGGGGACTGTTGTAGAATTATTAGGCCTCTATAAATCTGTAAGACCCCTTTAAATCCTCTTGCTATACCT